GATTTCAATTAAATTGAGAAGTACATTCATGTTTGCCAGACTCCATCCCAAATACTATAGAAAACAAAATTTTTCAGAAATATAAATGTCATTGTACTGAAGTAGAAATTTCTCATTGTTAGTTTTCAAAGCAAATTTAACTTTCATACATTCTCTGGATCCTTTATCTTTGATTTTTACTTCTTTTGAACATTTTCACTTTTGTCTGTCTTCTTTGAACTTTTCATTTTCTTCATTAAAATTACATTTTGAAAGCAGTTCTTGACCTCGGTCATGGAAAATGCCAGGGTTTTATTAGTTAACCAGAAAGGAATCCACTTCTGCTGTGTTTTCATTAGGCACAGACAGAAATTCTGGTGGTTAATGCAACTCCCCAAGCTGCAGTTAACAAATGATTTGTGTAAGAAAAGCTATCTCATTTTTTCCGTTGTCATCTTGACAAGAAACATGCAAAGTTTTTTCCCTTTGAAAACTCTGAATATTTTTAAACATTAGGATCTTAGGATTTTTTTTTTTTTTTAATGTGGAAAACAATGAGACTGAGCCTTTTTTTCCAGGGAAATATGTTTTACAAGAAACAGTCCAGTGAGATGTTTCCAAAAAGTCATTGTAGACCTGGAAACTTTACAAATGTTCCTCATATCCAGCTAAGAAACAACATCTTTCATCTTTAAAGCTTTAACTCTTAAGCAATCCCCTTTAATCACTTCAAGGTGGTGATACCATTTTATGTTACAAAAATAAAAGAACTGGGCTACATAAATCTTTGCAACTTTGCACAAAAGAAGAGTCATCCCTAGTAGAAACCATGAAGTTTCGGTAGATGGCAGTCTTCTCTCTGACAGCTCACAACTGGCATAAGACTAGAGTTGGAGCAGTGGACCTTTCTGAGATCTATCCTTTAGACTCAACTAAACCCCTGGCAAACTGACAGCTAATGATTTTTTTTTTTTTTAAATAAGTTCGTAGATAAGACACCAACCCAGGAATCTGAATTAGTTAAAATACATACAATCATCATCTTTCTTTCTTTTCCAGAATTGTTCCAGTGGCTTAGCTCTCTTCTCATACAAAGCTAAGATGTTTAATTTCAGAATTTAATCAGAATATCTGTTAATTTCTTGGCATTTACATCATCTGTTGTAAAATATTTTTGAGGTGCTAAGGAAACACAAGGCATCATGAATGAAAAACACAAAATTTTGTACCAATAACACTTTATTTACTTACAATTTATGTAATCACAGAGCTGATGATGACGTCTGGTTACATCATAAGCCTCTGAACCTCTTTTTTCTTTTTAAATAGGATTACCAACTCAAAGTTGAGTATTAAACAGAAAAATATCCCCTTTATCACCTTTATAAATGTATTGGCTCATGTATTTTCTAGGACAATATACAATTTCTTAGTATCTCCTTTTAATGAGAAATAGTTGCAAAAATAAGAAAATTCAGACACCACTTTTTTTTCCCCCATTCAAAAAATTATACACATATTGTTTTGTGACATTAGTTGCAATCCCCACAATGTGCCAGCATGCTCCGCCTTTCCAGCCCGGGTTCCCTGTGTCCATTTGTCTAGTTCCTGTCCTTTCCTGCCTTCTTGTCTTGCTTTTGGACAGGAGTTACCCATTTGGTTTTGTGTATTTGATTGGACTAAGAAGCACATTCCTCACGTGTGTTATTTTTTGTTTTATAGGCCTGTCTTGTCTTTGTCTGAAAAGTCAGACACTATGAATTTAATGTATGTTTTGTGTTCTCTGGTTACCTAGGGTTTAACAAAACTCTGGCTCTAGTCTTAACTCTGTCTTAACTAAAGCACGAATACAATGTTACATGGCTGACACTGAGATATCTGAGCAATTACGTTTTCTCTCCTCTTAAAGTACCAGTGTTTTTGATGATTATGTCCTACACTTCTTCTCCAGTAGCTCATATGTTTAATTGCAGGGGGAACACAATCAGAAAAGCTGAATGTTACTTGATTAATTACCAATTCTTTCTTCAAGAATAATGAAAAATAGAATCTCATAACAAGTAATAAGGAAATTATTCTCTGAGTCCATTTACAGTTTTGCAATTCCTAGACAATTAAAGGCCCACAGTTCATTTTAGTGGGATTATCAGTGTAGTGAAATATAGAAGCCCTAATCTTAGAACATATTTAATTAAAATAAAGTTCCTCTTCCTTCCCTAATGAAGCAATATTACTTAGTAATATGCATCCATAATTTATCTAGTGAGCAGTGAGTAAAATACTTACATTAAATAAGGACTATATTAGAGATTTGAAAAATATTTTTAAAAAACTCATATGCGGAGTTCTGAAAATAGCCATAATACTCAAGCATTTCCCAAAAGTCTTTGAATATTGTTGCCATTGTGTCTTTGGGTGAATGTGCTTGTAAGGAAATATTATGCCAATAATATACTCATTTCCTTAGAAAAATGCATTTAATACTAAAATTCACACATTTAATATTTTAAAACTTCACTAAAATACTCAATCCAGCTATGTTAACACTAATATTGGCGTTGGTTATGTAAAAGGTAATTTGCTGCCAGCCACTAGGTGGCGATACCTTATGCTTAAAATTTGGCATGTTTTATAAACTGTACCAAAAAAAAAAACAAAAACCCGTTGCCATCGAGTGGATTCCGACTCATAGCGACCCTATACTGTACAGGATATATAAAAAAGACTGCGTTTCTCCATTGGTAGAATAAAAGACATAAATTAAATAGAACTTTCACAAGTTTGTAAAATGACCAACATTCTTTGTGAGGACGTGTTTTATGCTCCAGAAAACTCTTGTGAGTAGAACTTAGTGTTCATTAGAGCTGTGCCATTTCTCTCTAGGGTTATTAGGACAAATACAAGAACCTGGAACCCAGAACTCTTATCTGACTGTTCTCAATGTGCTGTATATTTAATCATTTCCTTTAATCTTCCCACTGCTTATCTACCAACAGAATTTTCTTGTAAAGCATATATAGGGAACATAAGATGTACTATCTAAAACACTTAAACTGTTTCGTTTTCAAGACAGACAAAAACAATACTAAACTTCTTTTTAGCTTAGTAACACATACATGTATCAGCAAAATTCCATAGACAGTAATTATTTTCTGCAGCTAGAGAGAAAAGGGAGGGGGGGAGAGCAGTCCTGTAATATAAAGATAACGTAGGTGTCAAACTCTTTTTTTCCCTCTCTAATCTAAAGTTGGATTAGAGAAGAAAAATAACCATCCTACTCATAAAATACTGCAACCATTAGGCAACTGGAAATATTTGGAACTAAAAACCAAAAGTTTATAATATTTTCAACAAATGGGAACACTGTAATTTTTCCCACCACAAATTAGGAGAATTTAATTGCTTAAAAAAAGATAGAAGTCTTGACTGGGGTGGGGGGTGCTAGTCATTTGGTATCCTAACCAAAGACTGGTCATTGTAACATTTTCTTGGCAGGGACAGGACTGAGAGGGAAGGGGAGGAGGGATAAAAGAAGAAGAGAGTTGAGAGTTCTAGGGAAGGGAAGGAGGAGGAGGAAAAGGAAAGAAGAAAGACAAGAGATGGAGGCACAGGGAGGATGAAGGGAAGGCGTGATGGGGGAAGGGAAGACAGAATGGGGAGATGAGGAAAAATGGGCTTGTTTAGGAAGGGGGTGGGGAGGTGAGTGAAGGAAAGAAAAGGAGGAGTTCCAAAGGAGCCAAAAGGGGTGGAGAGATGAGAAAGAGGGGGAAGAAAAGAGAGAGGAGGGCCAAGCAAGAAGAATGGAAGGAAATGAGGGATGAGAATTTTTTTTCGTTCATGGCCATGGGCTGAACATGACTCTGAACAAATGGCATTGGCTGTCCCTCTCTCCTTTACACTTATTACCTGCGAGGACACCACAGATAATTGATACTAACAAAAAATCTTATTCTCATGCATAATGTTTGCAAAAACTATAGGTCTAAAATGTAAACATTTTCAATTATGTGCAAAGAGAAAAGGAAATGGTGTGTAATGATTTGACAGTCTTTAAATTTAGCATTTGCATATTTACATAAGAAGGTTTTTACTCCAGTTTGCCCAGTATTTTCATGGCTACAAGGAACATATGAATTAATAACAATAATTTCACATAAATAATGAGACAAAAGGGTTTTAGAGAAATTAGAACATGAGAACCATTACATGCACTTGTAAGAAAATACATCAAGTCAACTTTTTGAAGTCAAACAGAACTAACACCTTTACCTTGTTTGCAGGAAAGTCAAAACATTGTTGTTAAAAATATATTCGTGAAAGTATACAGTTCATTAGCTTAACTGCAGTTAAAATGGAGAACACGCAGAAGATACCACATTTTTAACAATATACTATCAGAAAATATGCATTAATCAACCATGTAAGTGTTAGAAACAATAAAAACGGGAATGATGAAAAATTTTTAACAGTTTGAACGTATTTAAAGAGCGTTGACAGATATCTTGCTGATGTACAGAAACATAGTCAATGATTCTAATAATGCATAGTGTTTTCCTTTAGATAGTTTTTAAAGCATGCTATATGTAAAACACATTATCGTATTGAGAAAACAATGCTCAATATTCTATCCTCACAAAGGATGCAGCGTACGGAGGAGGGCATAAAAAAGTATTACAAGACACCAATAACTTCCAGACTGCCTAGGGAAGCATTCCAAGATGTTAACAATCCAGGAGAGGAGTTTTTAAAAAGCCATTTTAAAAGTTTTCAGTGCCTTTAACATGAAAACATGTTAGTACAAGAACATTTTTTCTTAAACACGCAGAGAACTTTTAAACACACAAGTGACAATCTTTTTAAATGTATGTAAAAAGCACAGTCACGATCAGTTCAAATGTTACACAAGGGACCTTATAGAGGAAATTATCTTTTAGGAGACTGGTTTCCCCATTTATACCTATTTGTAAGAAGAAGTAAAGAACAAAGTCTCATTAAGTTTTTTGAAATTAGTACCTACTCACCTTCCTGGTTCTGTTGTGCCAAAATAACAGTGGGATGAAGCAGAGCAAGAAGTAGCCAGGTCCCCTTTTGCACAAAGCTCATCATGTCTAAATATCAGACATGAGACTCTTTGTGCAAAAAGGAGAAAAGAAAAGCAGTTCAAAGTAGCACCATCAGTTGTTCCCTGCCCTTCAGCACCGGGCCCGTCATAAAACTCAGCCACTGAGATTGCTTTGCTTTGCCCTTAAATAGGAAAAAGTTTGGCTTCTCTCACTTTCCAGCCCCTTTCTGAAATATGAGAGCAGCACCCATCCCCTTAGCAGTAAAAGAAATGATTAATATTTCTTTTTCCCTTATAGAAGACACAACCCACAAAGCAATAAAAACAACTCATTTGGAGCTTGTGTATGTCTTCTTATGTGTAAGTTTGTTACATATTTTAGTCTTTAATATATGTGTGTGTTTGTAACTTGTAAGCATATAGTGAAATGCTCTGCCTTGTCATGTTTTAATGTAAGAATTAAATGTAT